AACGCGCTGCAAATACTCACAACACAACCAAATACAGAAATGCGCTGCCAAAAAAGAAATGTGCTGCAAAAACTCACAACACAACCAAATACAGAAATGCGCTGCAAATACTCACAACACGACAAAATACAGAAACGCGCTGCAAATACTCACAACACAACCAAATACAGAAATACGCTGCAAAGACTCGCAACACAACCAAATACAGAAATACGCTGCAAAGACTCGCAACACAACCAAATACAGAAACACGCTGCAAAGACTCGCAACACAACCAAATACAGAAACACGCTGCAAAGACCCACAACACAACCAAATACAGAAATGCACTGCAAAGACCCACAACACAACCAAATACAGAAATGTGCTGCAAATACAGAAGCGTGCTGTAAAGTCCCACAACACAACCAAATACAGAAACGTGCTGCAAATACCCACAACACAACCAAATACAGAAATGTGCTGCAAAGACCCACAACACAACCAAATACAGAAATGTGCTGCAAATACAGAAATGCGCTGCAAATACAGAAATGTGCTGCAAAGACCCACAACACTATCACATACAGAAACGTGCGGCAAAGACCCACAACACAACCAAATACAGAAACGCGCTACAAATTCACACAACACAACCAAATACAGAAAAATACCCACAATACCCACAACAAAATCAAATACAGAAAGGTGCTGCAAATGCAGAAACGCGCTGCAAAGACCCACAACACAACCAAATACAGAAATGTGCTGCAAATACCGCTGCAAGCTGCAAAGACCCACAACACAACCAAATACAGAAACGTGCTGCAAATACAGAAATGCGCTCCCACAACACGCAACACAATCAAATACAGAAACGTGCTGCAAATACAGAAAGCGCTGCAAAGACCCACAACACAACCAAATACAGAAACGTGCTGCAAATGCAGAAACGCGCTGCAAAGACCCACAACACAACCAAATATAGAAATGCGCTGCAAAGACCCACAACACAACCAAATACAGAAATGTGCTGCAAATACAGAAACGCGCTGCAAAGACACACAACCAAATACAGAAACGTGCTGCAAATACAGAAACGCGCTGCAAAGACCCACAACACAACCAAATACAGAAACGTGCTGCAAATACGCACAGACCACATCAGAAATGAATAAGGAAACCGCAACAAGTGACGAACTTGGCTGGGACATACTTAGGCCCATTCCCAATTCTACCCCTTAGCCCTTCCCCTTTCCCCTCTCGATTCTCTTTTGGTTGGAGGGGTAGGGGAAGGATTTTTCGGGACCACACTTCAAACGAAGGGGTATGAATTATCTCAGCGTAAACCGGCTTCAGGGGCAACATGGCTGCCCGAGCGAACAATAAGACACATAAATGTAAGCATTTTTGGCATTAGTAAAAATTTGAACGAAAATAATCATTTGTTTTATGTTACATTCAATCGTGAGTTCATATTTACGGTCATGTTACTCAAAGAAATGTTTGCAAAAAATCGCTAATATTTGCTAACTAACGTCATATCATTACCCAGATAGCACATGTACGTCTGCAAGATGTCTGTTAAAGATCTCTTGATCTGGAAAGCATCTGCTGTGGACAAACATCTGACAGACGTCTTTCAGATGACAGTTTTACATACATTCTAAATCATAAACATCTTAAAGACATCTAATAGACGTCTATTTGACATCTAAAAGGAAACGTCCTATACATATTGCAGATGAGCAAACACTCTAACAAATACGTCTTGCAGATGTAAATGCAGACATCAAATAGACGTATTGTGGGGGGCTAGTCCCCCCAATAATTAGAAATCGCTAAACTCTTTTCTCAAATATTGCCAAATCGAGAGCGAGAGAGAGACGGAGACAGAGAAAGAGAGATGAAAGTTGCGTTTATCCGCGTCTGTGCGTTTCTCTATTTAGAGTGAGTTTACTTAAAAAAACAGCGATTTTATCCTCTCGTTGCTGGAAAATATAATGTAGCGATTCAGTATTTAAACTGATATTAATAAAAGTCGTGGGGCAGCGTTGACAAGTTTCCTTTCTCCTGGATGTGTGAGCTGCGCGATCTCCGATATGTATGTGTGTGTGTGTGTGTGTGTGTGTCAGTAAACAGCGGATTAATATAGAACGGTAATTAAAGGGTCTAATGCACACCAGCACACCAGTATAGGTGTGTGTATTGTAGGAGCTAGACGACGTATGATGACGTGTGACGGCAAGAGTAGTGGTGTCCCAATTCTTAGGGGAATATTTTCACCCCTACACCTTGACACTCTGTTTCAAGGGACAGGGGGAAGGGGTAGGCGGAGGGGAAGGGGTATAAAATAGAATTGGGATTGGGCCTTACTCTGAAAGGTGCGATGCTGATCATATGATTCCTTAGTTTTTTCTATATAATTACCCTAAATAAGCCGACGAAATACACAGTTACTGTAACTGTGAAACGTTATGTAAGCTGGCAAACTTACTTTTACAACTTCCCTTACGAAAATTAACCATGGTTTTACTATAAAAAAAATTTTTTTTAAATATAGTTAAACCATGGTAATCACAAATTACACTAACCATAGTTTAACCATGGTTTTTGTGTAGTTACACAAATGGTTATCACCAAAAAAAAATGGTAATGGTAAAATCGGAAATGCCAAAAACATCATTGCTACACTTTTACTGTAATATTCATTGTGGTCTGTGCTACATGCAGTGTGTTTCAGTATTTGGTTGAGTTGTGTGAATTTGCAGCGCGTTTCTGTATTTAATTTGTAGCGAGTTTCTGTATTTGGTTGTGTTGTGTGAATTTGTAGCGAGTTTCTGTATTTAATTTGTAGCGAGTTTCAGTATTTGGTTGTGTTGTGTGAATTTGTAGCGAGTTTCTGTATTTAATTTGTAGCGAGTTTCAGTGTTTGGTTGTGTTGTGTGAATTTGTAGCGAGTTTCTGTATTTGCAGCACTTTTCTGTATTTGGTTGTGTTGTGAGTCTTTGCCGTGTGTGTCTTGTCAAACTGATGAAGATATTTTTTCTTAATTTGCTGGCCTTTTCTATTTGAATGTGTTTTCTTAAGTTGCAGCGCGTTGAGCTCTCTCGGCCTCCAAATTTATAGGCGTCTATCTGATTAAAACCAATAACTAAAGTTCCCCAAACTCTTTAAACTCTTAGAGACTCAAAAAAAAAAAAAAGAGCACTGACATGTTAGCAAGTTAAGTTGCAGCGCGTTGAGCTCTCTCGGCCTCCAAATTTATAGGCGTCTATCTGATTAAAACCAATAACTAAAGTTCCCCAAACTCTTTAAACTCTTAGAGACTCAAAAAAAAAAAAAGAGCACTGACATGTTAGCAAGTTCATGTTATAATGAAAATTCACACTTTTAAGTTGTTGTTCTAGATAATGCAGATGATTCACAGATTCCAACAAACTGTTATTTGCAGAGCAAAGAGCCTTAATGCTTCGCAAATATCATATGAATTGCATTGAATGTGCACTTGTGTACCTTCGGTGTCCTTTGTGTGTATACTGGATCTTAAAAGTACATTAAAAAAAAACTGTACTTGCAGATAATTTTAATGGAATAAAAGGCCACTTAAAGAGAGTACACCTCATGATTTTTCTTAAAACACAAAGCACACTTTGCAATAATGTCAAAATAAAGGGTTTGCTTTGTAATACATGTCAAATCATTGTTTTTTCTAATCTTTTTGCTTTAAAGAAGTGCACTCATGTTATTGTGCTGACTAACAAAGCACATGTAAAGTACTTGCTCATAATTAAGTAACAATTAACAAGTAGTAGTGTGTTATTTGATATTACATTAAATATATTTTACATGTACTAAATTGCAACGTCGCCATTACAAATGTGTAATTACAAATACATTTAAATACATGGCATACAAGTTTAATTACATTAAGGTATTTTTTAGTTTACCATAATTGCTTGTCACTTCATTTGGCATTATTTGGCCACCATATTTCAAAGATAATATCCTAGTCCAACTAGTTGCATTTAGTAAAAATTTAAACTATAATACATTTTTCATTTATCTTTAAGATTCCACAAAATAAGTGTCAGAACATTACATTCAATTAGCACTTAAATATATTCTTTTAAAGTGTATTGTTTTCATAATAAGACTCGTTTTAAAAGTATGTTAAGTGTAGGCTACTTATTTTTCACAAGGGCCTGTACAGTTGTTTGCTCTTTAAATGTTGAAAATATTTTATGCTTTAATCTTTGGACAGCATGAGTGTTCATTTTTGATGACAACAGACAAGGATGGCAGGAACTGGATGCCTAATTAATCTCAGTGATGTGTTTTATCCACTGTTAACAGCATGATGGGAAGCCATACTGCCACAAGCCATGCTATGCTGCCCTCTATGGACCAAAAGGTGCAGTACATCTAATTAATGTCTCAGATGCATCTGTTCATAATTTGTGGGGCTTGCACTGCAGCAAGTAGGACACTCTTTCCTTTGATGCAACAGATTCTTAATGAGACAGCCAGCATGCACAAGAGCAGCTTCATCACAGAAATCTCTGATCTTCAGATATGGAGTATAGTTTTAAAAATTCTGTCATTATTTTCTCATCGTCATGACGTTCTAAACCTGTATGAGTTCTTTCTTCTGTTGAACACACACACACACACACACACACACACACACACACACACACAAAAGTGAAATATCAAAAAAAAATGTGAAATATAAAATATATGTATATAGTGGAGAATGTTGGTAACCAAACAGTTTTGGATCCTATTGACTTCCATAGTATTTTATTTTATTTTATTTTTTTGTCCATAAAAGGACCCAAAACTGTTTGGTTACCAACATTTTTCAAAATATCTTCTTTTGTGTTCCACACAAGAAAGAAACTCGTACAGCTTTTGAACAAGGGTGAGTAAATTATGACAGAAGTTTCATTTTTGGGTCAACTATCCCTTCATGAATTATTGAATTCTTTCATACTGTAATGTTTGAATACCACCCAGCAACTGTACTGCCTGTCATATTCCTGTAGGTGTGAATATCGGCGGGGCTGGTTCATATGTCTATGACACACCTGTCAACGATGACACTACCCCTGTTGCCATGGAAACCAAGCCGAAGGCTGAAGAGAAAAAGGCTACCAGGGGCCCAGTGAAGGGTGAGTTTGTACTACTTTAGATCATAATGCAGACACTCAACCCTACACAGCCTACTGTACCATATTTGATAGTCCTCTAAATTCTCAACATGATCAAAACTTTGATGAAAACCCTGTTGTACAAAATCTACTACATGACTTCTGTTGTCTGATTGATACTTTTGTGATATACTTTTTTAGCATAATTCTAAAATTGTCAGGTCAGGGCACCTTCAGGTCGTGGTTTGTGTATTTTTGGGAGTTCTTCACTGAAAATCAGTAAATGTAAGAATAGCTTTTATATTGTTATTAACTGAAGCAATTTTTTTAAACGTTTTCTTAGAAAAATCATGTTAAAATGCAAAAAGATTAGAAAGCTAGTGTTAGTTGTTTTTATATATATATATCTCTCTCTCTCTCTCACACACACATATATGGGAAGTCGTGGCCTAATGGTGAGAGAGTCGGACTCGTAACTAATCTTTTTGTATTCTATCTGTTTTCTTTTCATTTATTATACAATTAACAAAAGCAAAAAAGACCTCTAACACAAGCTTGCTCTATTTTCTTTCTATTCTATCTGTTTTCTTTTCATTTATTATACAATAACAAAAGCAAAAAAGACCTCTAACACAAGCTTGTTAATTTTCTTTCTATTCTATCTGTTTTCTTATTTATTTATTTATTATATTATTTAAAGAACACTTGCTACATGTACAAGGGGTTTTAACAAATCTAACTGAGATTTGTTATAGCACTTGTATATCATTGCTCTTTTGTTGATTTTGATTGCTTCCATTGTCCTCATTTGTAAGTCGCTTTGGATAAAAGTGTCTGCTAAATGACTAAATGTAAATGTAAAATGAATCAAATATGATATTTAATGATACTTTATATTCTCCTATATCATAATATATGAGCCACAAAAGAAGACTGATGTATCAAATGTGATGCTAAAAACATATGCAAACTTATATATACACATATAGTTCAGGGATAGGAGTTCAAAAATGAAAGTTATGTCATCATTTACTCACCCTCAAATCTGTATTTGAGTTTCTATATTCTGTTGAACACGAAAGAAGATATTTTGAAGATTGTGGATAACCAAACAGTTGCTGGTAGCCATTGACTTCCATAATGTATTTAAAAATAATAATAATAATAATATGGAAGTCAATGGCTACCAGCAACTGTTTGGTTACCAACAATTTCCATTTATTGGGTGAACTATCCCTTTAATTCATATGTTAGACTTTACCGGGTTAATTGTAATTTACTGGAAATCCTGTTGAAGTGGTGAAACACTTTTATAATATTGTTATTTTAAAGAACACCCCAATAATGCCATAGAAACCACCAATAACACCCTATCATCTGCATAACAATATGCTAAACCCAAACCCAAAACTTGGCAATTTGCATTGCAACCATCCTAAACACCACAACATTTGCATGGGCAAATCTACTTGTACTGTTACTTTTAGTACAAAGTGGGTAGTGATAATGAATTCTGTAAAATATTAGGATTATTACATTTATGGTAATGGAATGTTAATTTAAATGAATGATATTTGTGAGAATAATTGTTTACCTGATTTTCTCCAGCTGCAAGCTTCAGTTCGTTTTCTGGTCAGCCGAACATCTGCCCAAGGTGCAACAAAACCGTGTACTTCGGTAAGCGCTGACATTCAGACAGTAAAGTTCAGCAAATATGGACTTGTGCTGGAACTTGTGTGTTCAGCAGTGCCAGGACATACATATGCATTTCTTGAGGTTGCCTGATGCTTACAGAAGGGCCTGTGTTTCCTTCTTTGTGTTTCAGCTGAAAAGGTCAGTTCCCTGGGTAAAGACTGGCACAGGCCCTGTCTGCGCTGTGAGAGGTGCAGCAAGACTCTGGCTCCAGGCAGCCACGCAGAGGTGAGGGACATTTTTATATATTTGAATCTAAATACATTTATATTGTGCAAATTATAAAAATACATTTTGGCATAATGTAATTTAAGATTTAAAGTTTATTTTCTTGCCCCTCAAAGTACATATTGTGATCTATTTAAGCATTTAATGATTTACCTAAATATACTTTTAGTCTAGAAAAAATCCTTAAATTGTCCTGTGCACAACATATTGTCAGGGTTATGGACCTGTCTGTGTGTGTTTTTGCTCCCTGTGACCCAGTTTCTGTCTCCCGTTGATTGTGTTAATTTGATTCCAGGTGTGTCTAGTTCTTCCCCCAATTATCCTGTGCTTAAAAGCCTTAGTCCTTTCAGTTAGTGTTTGTTGGTTCTGAATGTCATTCCATGTGTTGCTGTGTCTCCTATGTACCCCTTGTGTTTGGGTTATTAAAAGACTGTGGTTTGAAGCTATCTCCGTGTCTCCTCGTTCCGTGCTCCAAGTGAAGTGTGACACATATGTACATATATTTTAAATATAATTTGGTCAGAAAAAAAAAAGTGGATCTGTATGGATGGAGTAGAAACGTGTGTATATATCCTCTCTTAGTAATATCATAAAGGTGAAGCTCAAAAATGTCCAGATTAAACTGTTGTGCAATGCATCCAGATTTGAAATGACATTTGAAGACAAGTATGATTTAATAGTGTACATGGGTTCTGTTTTAAACTACAGCACGATGGCCAGCCATACTGCCATAAACCCTGTTACGCTGTTCTCTTTGGGCCAAAAGGTACATTTCCACTGTCTGTTTTCCAGTTTCATTCTTTTTATACAGTGTATATTGTCTGTTGAGGAGACATTCCATTTTGGTAACTGCATCAAGTAAAATTTACAAAAATGACTTTATATACACAGAAAGCATATTAAATGCAAGTGTCTACTTCAATGTTTCAACTTTCAAATAACATTTATGAAAATAAAATGTCAAAATATGAGTGAAATAATGTTCCATCGTCATTCAGTATACAGAATAAAGTAGTATAATAGTATTTTGGGGCTGCACTGTGAATGTTTTAATGTCATCTAATGATTCTTGTTGTAAATATGCATCACAAGATTTTTTGGTATATGAATTATTGTTACACTGAATGACATTTTTTTTCTGTAAATCATAGTAAAAATGTTTAATAGTCATTCATTTTTATTTTATTGTTTTTATTTATTTATTTTGCACAGAAAAATGTAATTCAATTAAACAGGACACATTCTAATGTACGTAAAAAAAAAATAAAGCTGTATTAACTTTTATTGTTTTGATGCTTGCAAACCCCTATTCGTCTTTGAGCCGTGCATAATGTTATTTCACTGTTTTTGTTCAGGAGTGAACACTGGAGGTGTTGGCAGTTACATATACGAGGACCCAAACACTGAAAGCCAGTCCTAAGAGCCACAAGCACACCAGCAGTATTATTAGCAACCTTAGATTTAAGCCTCTTGTCTGCTTCCTTTAAATTCACTTCCTATCTTTCTTGAATCTGCACTGATCTTGTTCATCTACAGAGTGCCACTTACATACTAATTGTGCTCAAATAAGCTAGTATTACTACTTACTAACAGGAATATGTGTTTAGCCTTTTTGCTGTATTTATATATTGTTTATATATTTTTAAGAATGTACTTAAGATCTTTTTTTTTTTTTTTCTTTTTTTTTTACTGTGACATTGAATTACAGGTAACACACAATTTTGTTCAGAATTAAACGTTTTTGCCATTAGTTCTAACATATGTTTAGTTGTGTAGCACTATAGCACACTTATTTATTAGGCCTGTAGTTTACCGACGGCATATGTTTTCTGAACTTTGCACTTAAGGTCTGTTTATGTATTAAACACTTTGTATTTGAAATTAAATAATATTGTTAAGTGTATTGGATTGGGTTGTTTCATTTCACTTTTGGGATGCTGGAGAAAAGAAAAAAAAAAGAATATACTGCCTTAAATGTACAAGTGATGGTGCCAGTACATTCACAGCACTTTTTCCAACCACGTTGAATTTAATACTTTAAAAAAAATGCACAAAAATCTTTAAAAAAGGGAAAAATACATACATACATGCAGTACATACCAAATCAAGCAGAAATGAAATGTATTTATTGTGGCCAGTTAAACTGGTGGAAACACGCTGTTATGTTGTTATGCATGGTATAATAGCTAATAAATACCCATGTTTGCACAAAAAATACAAGGATCTGTCACAAATCATATTGATAGCTAGAATATAATTAATATCGTAATATTTCAGATACTCTCTTTAATCATCTAACAGGATGTCATTAGATTCTCCAGGCATAATCTAATGTCATTATCCACTACATGTAAAAATGTCATCACATTTGTAACCAGTAATGAATCAATGAATGTACTTCTCAATGAGATTATAGTGATTAAGCTCTGCTGTATATCGTGTAATAAACCAGAAGGCTCGAATTGTCAATATCAAAAACAACGCAATGCATTCTGGGTGATGTGGTCCACGGCGCTCACACGCACGCTGTCATTCAACACTGCACTGATGTCTGCTGCGGTTATTTTAGCCGCTGTTCTCGGCGGTGGGGTTCTCCTCATTGCCCGGAGAATATTCTCCAGACGCAAAGCGCTGAGATCACTGAGCTACCCAGCGAGTCTGATGCGCGGAAAGACTGTGATAGTGACCGGGGCGAACAGCGGCATCGGGAAGGCGACGGCGGCGGAGCTGCTGAAGCTGCAGGCCCGTGTGATCATGGCCTGTCGGGACAGGCGCAGGGCTGAAGAGGCGGCCCAGGACATCAAGAATCAAGCCGGTGCAAATCAGGGAGAGTTAGTGGTCAAAAACTTGGACCTCGCGTCGCTCCAGTCTGTGCGCAGCTTCTGCGAGGAAGTTATCAGGGTTTGTTTACAGCTGTCTCTTTCTCTTTTAGTCATTGAAACTGGGTTGCATGGCATTAAATATCTAGGCTACAGCAGCATGGAGTATGAATTCATGAACGTCGAAATGGCTCAAACCAGGCAAAGATCATTGAGAAAGTGGTCAAATTAGTTAATTTAATATTAATGTGCAATATGATATGTGATCTGTGTATATATTTATATGTATATATACATATGATGTGAAATATGATAAGTGTAGTTACTACAATTATTGTTGGCACAGTTAAACTGTGGCAACTTAGTTCTTGCCACCACTTTCATGAAAAATGACAAATTCACTTCTTACAATGGTTGAAGCCCATATTAAAGGGACTGCATATTATTATCATCTCATATTATTATGATAATTGTAACATAATTGTAGTAACTGTGGGTATTTTGGTGCCTTGATAAATTGTAAATAATGAAAATAGATGGGAACTGGGCTGATTGTCACACTTTTAAATCCAGACAATAATTTTCACTGGGTTGATTTATTTTTTTAAAGTAAATTTCCGGGTATGGGACACACGTTATTGTCTTGACATCAATGGGGACCTGCCATTAAATATCCATTTATAGATTTTCATTCAACTTTAAACATGAAATAGCAGAGATGGAAAAAAATAACATGAAATATTGCCAAACCATTATTTTGGCCAAATTAATGAATTATATGGAACTATAACAGATGAACAGATAGATTAGAAGTATCACTTTGGTTGAGACTTGATCTTGAAGGGCTGACTTAGGGTAATAGGAATCCATGATTTTATACTCAAAAAAAAAATATTTTTACAAGGTCTCACTCACAAACCTGTGGAACGATCCTTTAATGGGTCGCAGTGAAATCTCAAATTGTTATCATGACTTAACTCATATGAGGGATTTTTAATTGTTTGCAGTGTGTATAATTGTGCAGATTGCATTATTTAAAGCAAAATAAATAAATTACAATTACATAGATTTTTCAATCTTTCCATAGTGTTACATTTATTAAAAATGTATAGGTGTAACATACTTAACAATAAATACAGCGATTTGATAAAATAAATGAAATTATGACACAACACATGCCATCAGGCCTGAGCTTCATTATATAGTTAATATAATGCATGTCATATTGGTTTTACTTAAAACCTAAGTTACTGACATACAGCCACTGTAAGAACTTCCCCATGTGACAACCAGCCTCGATGTCCCATTTTAGATTTATCAGACATTTATATGAAGCCATTTTAGTTAAGTTTTCTGCAGCGAGTTAATATCTGGCTACATAAAATTATTTTGGACAGAATAGCATTTTCCCACTTATACCTCTGTCCCAAGACAACCTCTTCAGACAGCCTCCTTGAGGTTTTCACCAGCCACAGTTTTTGCCTCTGAAACAGCATGCCAGAAGACTTGAGGATATTAGTCTATCAGTATTTTTAAATTTCAGTCTTATACAACTTAAACGACTATATGTTTTACCACATAATTTTTCATGTGTCTTAAGTTGTTTGCTTTCTGTATTGCATTTATACACTAGATAAATTAAGTGTGATTAGATGTGCACAAACTAAAATTTCTAAACTCCTAATTGTGTTACAAAATTAGGAGGAGCCGAGGATTGATGTTCTTATCAACAACGCTGGTCTCTACCAGTGTCCCTACAGTAGGACAGAAGAGGGCTATGAAATGCAGTTGGGAGTAAACCTCCTGGGTCACTATCTTCTGACAAATCTTTTGCTGGACCTCCTGAAGCAGTCGGCTCCCAGCCGTATCGTCGTGGTCTCCTCCAAGCTCTACAAGTATGGCAGCATCAACTTCGAGGACTTGAACAGTGAACAGAATTATAACAAAGCTTTTTGCTACAGCCAGAGCAAGCTTGCCAACCTACTATTCACCCGCGAGCTGGCACGCAGGCTGGATGGTACTGGGGTAACTGTAAATGCCCTCACTCCGGGTATCGTAAGGACCAGATTGGGCCGGCACGTCAACATCCCCCTGCTGATTAAGCCTCTTTTTTTGCTGGTCTCTTGGTTGTTCTTCAAAAGCCCACTGGAGGGTGCTCAGACCCCACTGTACCTGGCATGCTCGCCTGAAGTTGAGGGTGTGTCTGGAAAATGCTTCACTAATTGCGAAGAAGAACAATTGCTTTCTAAAGCCACCGATGACCATACTGCTAAACGGCTCTGGGACCTAAGTGAAAGCATGGTGGGTCTTAGGAGGTGAGGGGACGAAGCAGAACCACCCTTCACAAATGTGGCAAATGCAAATCTCGAACATCAGTGCAATGGATTTTTTGGGATGTGTTTTTGGCCAAGTACCTGAGGGACTTGCTGGATAACAGACAGGAAATTAAAATGTCCATCTGTTCCCCTGTGTCTTTGCTGCAGTGTTTTCAGAGATGGCCTCAGGCTTGTGACTCACTCTACTCTGTGAATGAGAGCCTGAAAGTATCAAGTCCTACATATCCCTTGAATACAAATGACAGGAGCAGTGTGCCCAAGAAACATATGGCTCCGAGCTATCGTTAATACAGAATAACACGAACACCATTGTATATCTCTCAATGTAGATTAAGTGGTGCTTTGTGACCAAGTTATTACAATACATCAAGATTGTTGAATGTTGTTCAGCAATTAATTTGACAGACCTATTCATCTATGAAGTGAACTAGTGACAATTTAGCCTCCCAGAATATTCTCTTCTCATAATGCTCTAAAGTAAACTTGGCAACTCCCACCCCGTGACTCATTTCAAGATATATTTGAAAATGTTTGTGACATCCCAGTGTAAAAAAAGGAAACACGTAGGTTGTGGCTCTGCAGATAGTGGGGTGTCACTACTAAAAAAAAAAAAAAAAAGTGATTCAGAGTAATGGATGTATAAATTTCATTACCTCCGCTATATACTCCTGTGCATTAGCCATTATTAGATCATTTTCATTCGCAGTGGAGGAGTAGGATGTTTACAGGCTATTGTCCTTAATCACATGCACTAACATGAAATGTTTTGTGTGTAAATGCTGTGCTTCTGTTATTCTCTAAAAACTGAATAAATTGAATGCTGGAAAATAAGGAGTGGGGTGTCACAACTAAAAAAAAAAAAAAAAAAAAGTGATTCAGAGTAATGGATGTATAAATTTCATTACCTCCGCTATATACTCCTGTGCATTAGCCATTATTAGATCATTTTCATTCGCAGTGGAGGAGTAGGATGTTTACAGGCTATTGTCCTTAATCACATGCACTAACATGAAATGTTTTGTGTGTAAATGCTGTGCTTCTGTTATTCTCTAAAAACTGAATAAATTGAATGCTGGAAAATAAGTCTGTCATTTGTGGAGGAGGACCAAGGTCCTTCCTTTGAATGCTGTCATTTCATGCAGGAAACAGAACTCTAAATTATAAATTCTCCCCAATACACCTCAGCAGCAAGCTTTACTACCCAACAGGAGCAGTGCAGGAAACAAAAGGGAGTTAAAGAGACAGGCATTGTGCAAGTATTGTGCTTTATTAGATATAGAAAGCAAAACAGAAGAAACAGAGTCATGCATCATTGTGTCAACTGACACAGGATCCCAGCTGATTAAGAAAGAAGCGAGGGATTGAATCGTGAGGTAGAGAGGGCCTGAGGGAGGGGCTTACAGCACTGAGAAACAAAAGAGAAAACATTGAAAAGAACAATCACCTCGGAAATTCCATCACCCAACAAAACACATCAGGAGTTAAATAAATGCCCAGTGCTTTCAAGAAATTGTACTTGTTTCATGTTGTAATAGACTTGAGTAATATCAAATCTATTTGAAATAGAAATAGATTATTAGTATCACTTTGGTTGGGACTTGATCTTGAAGGGCTGACTTAGGGTAATATGAATCCATGCAGAGTTTATTCTCAAAAATATTTTCATAAGGTCTCGCTCACAAACCTGTGGAACGATCTGTCAATGGGTCGCAGTGAAATCTCAAATTGTTATTATGACTTAACTCATTTGGGGCATTTTTAATTGTTTGCAGCATGTGTAGTTGTGCTGACTGCCTTATTCATAGCAATATAAATAATTTACAGTTATATAGATTTGTCAGTCTCTCCATAGTGTTACATTTATTAAACAATTATAGATATAGCATACTTAACAATAAATACAGCTATTCATAAGTTAAATAATAAAAGTTCAAATTTCTTGTCAAAATTAGCATTTCTTTTTACATAGCATGTGTTGTTCATTCAGAAACCCTTAAGAGCCCAGAAGGCTTTTGGTAAAACAAAGTTAATCTCCCTCTCTGCAGACAAGTTTCCAAAAATTCATAATGCACCCAATGCACTTAAAATACTTTCCCACAAATCACACAGAACCATTAATAAACTTTCAAAATAGGCTATACAAATAGTGCTGAGTGTTAGAGCTTCATATCAACTGTAGAAACATGAGCAAATTATGTTCGATGTTTAGAAAACACTGTAACAGATACAGAAATAGAGAGAAAAAAGATAAGTGAGCTTATGGACTGAAAATATTCAACAGAAAATCCCATCATATGTTTGGCTCAAACTGTAGCTTAACATTCAAAACCTACTGACAAAAGAGAGTAACCAGGAAACCCTGCTCTTAGTTTAGTAGAGTACCACAGAGCTTTAAAAGAGAGTAACCAGGAAACACTGCTCTTAGTTTAGTAGAGTACCATAGAGCTGTGCCTTGGTGAGACTGTCCTTACGTGACAGCCCTAGTGTGCCAAATTTTTGGTACGGTTGTTGTGGAGGTGGTGGTGGAGTGGTTCCCTGAGGGGACACACTGTGCCTCTCGGGTTGGTAATGCTGTAGCTCAGCACCCATCTCCAGAGATCCATGGTCCAGTGACTCATTTGAACTGTTGGGACTTACGTCAACATACTCCGTTGCCTTGCCCCCAGCTGCCACCCCACCGTCCTTGGGGCTGTAGAGGCTGTGCTCGGACTCTTGGCTATCCTCCTTGGAACAGTAAAGGTGAGGTTGGCTTTGCTGCTGCTGCCGTAAGCCTGGGCTGCAATCAGGGCTGGGGTTAGAGAAGGGATCTAGTACCCCGGCGTGATGGTGGTATACATCAGTACCTTCCTGGAAGCTACTGTAGAGAGGACCAAGACGAATTTTTGCAGGCCGGACAGAGAAGTGCTGCTCAGAGAAGCTGTAGGGTGATGCCCGGCCGGGACTACGGTATGAATGGGCACTCAGGTCCTCCACACTCAGTTGCCTCCACCGACCAATCAGCTCTTCTTCCTCAGGATTAAAAGCGCTTCCACGGCGACTGTCACCATAGGTGATGCTGGGGGAGGTGGAAGGTGGCAGGGGCTCATAAGGTTCACTGTAACATGAGGACATTGTTCTGCTGTAGATGGGTGAGCTACCATTCTGATGGTGGCTGGACTCAGGCGGTTGAAAAGTATGGGCCTTCGTAAAGGTGCTTGGACTCTCCCTCTCCCAGGAAGAGTCACTCTTGTGCTCGTATTCACCCCCATCCCTCCAGTCCATGTAAAGCGCTTGGTGGCGCGGAGAAGATGCAGCACTGCTCGGAGGATCCTGCCCCTTGTCCTCTGACCCTCCTCCACTAAAACTTGAGTAAGAGCTAGAGCCTCCTCCCAGAGAGGTTGTAAACTTTCGGAAGTGGTCCTGGGAGAAGCCAGGCTGCAGGGACATGGATCCCTCTTCTGGGTTGCTGTCAGTGGAGTTCTGGGGTTCGTACACTGTCCGCTGTCCATGAAGGTCCATGCTGGGTCTGCGCTCTCGTCTCCGTTCATCAGGGCAATAAAGCGCTGTGTCACTGCTATAAAGGTCTGACTTGTAAGTAGCACGGAGGCCAAGGCGCTCAGTGCTACCCACAAGGCTTGTGCCCACGAGGAATCCCTGGCGTTCCTGGGGTTGTGGGCTGGGTGAGCGAGAGGCTTGACTGCTGCAGACCTCGTCTGGTTTCTCCAGGACCTTAGCAATGACAGAGGCAGGCACTGTGTCGGCATATGGGGAATGGCAGAGGGAAGAAACCTCCATGTGCAAGCTTACACGCTCCTGAATCTCTGCAGGCAACTGAGAGAAAGTAAAACACAGATTTCCATTAGATGTACCCAATGAACAATAAGTGTTGAGAGACTCGCACAAAAAGAGAAAAAGTTAGGCTGTTATGGAAACCTATCTGGAAAGGATAAGAAGGGAATAATAGCTTAGGTAAGGTCAATATCAGTATGAAGTTAACAAGAAACATGCAAGAGATTGGGGAATGAAACAGAAGCACCCAGTGAACACATATGTTTACAAAGCAGACAGCCAAAGATATTGTTAAAGGATATTGTCCGTACAAATGGCCTATGTAAGTACATGGTTTTTAGTATTTCATTTAGCGAAAATTGACCCTAGGGAAAACCACAGATTTCATTATCACTGACACTACACAGAGTACTAGGCATCAATTCAATATCACAACCCTTTTTATCTCAGTTTTTTCACCATAGCAACAAGAAGAAAGTAAATTGCAGCTAATTAGCTAACAGTGCATGGCTAATTATAGAAACATGATGAGTCAAGACAAAGCAAAAATTTTACTCCAAAATCAATAGGGTTGGTCTCGGTTCAACAAATCTGATTTGATATCTAATTCATTCAACATCTGTTGACCTTCTGAGTGTTGTTGCTTTTGAGACTTTTTTTGGCTGCTTTTAAAAATATTCTCGATGGTTATTCAGAAACTTTTTTTTTCTTTTTTTTCTCATAACCACATGAGACACCTTTTGTCCAGCTATGTCCATCTATTTTAACGAATACTTAGTGCCAAATATTTGACATTTTCATATAAAACAATATGCAAGGCTGAATTCCCTGAACACATTGTGTAACAGACACATTGATGTTTCCATTCAAATATATCTGCCAAATATGAACAGGTTTTTACAGCAGGCAGCATTCCAACATTAGTCTCTAATCTAGTCATCATGGGACTGGCGTAAGGCTTGGAGCAGATTTGAAGAATTTTTCAATTTTCAAATTTTTCTAAAGCTTTATTGTCTATCCCCAATGGGGTAGAAAATTGTCTTCAGACAAAAGGCTCAACACACAAACAGCACAAGTAGTCCTCATAACAACAGACTACATTACATCACAAAAAAATAAAATAAAATAAACGGCCAGGTTTATTGGCACACACTATTATTACTTAAACATCCTCCCACTTTTTCCTTGCCAGAAGAGTCACACATTCTTAATTGGGACAGCATTTTTCTTTAAA